ACAAAGTTGTTAGAATCACAACTTTACTAATGGAGAGTTAGTGCTTCAATTGTAGCATTCATGTAAAATCAAAACTGTGGTAACAATTCCTCAAAGTCTAGGAAATGAATTACAAAAATGACATTGAAATTTTACAGGTATCGGATAATGCAATTACAATGAACTTTCAGTCCAATGAACTCTCAAACCTATTACAATGAACTTCCACTCCTTTGTGTCGATTATATTGACTATCCCTCTGAGTTTCCAATTGTTTTCATTATTATATTATTCAGACTCCAACCTCCTTCTTGGGTTTTTCATTTATCATGTATATCCATGGCTGACAACTACGATTCAATCGACAGTCTTTGGGCCAGCAGCGAATATCTGAAGTGGTCCCCACCAACTGGATCATAGAGCTTGACGAGATCAACGTAGTGGTCCTGCAAGACCACCAAACGAAAACCAGCAACTGGGCCCTGCCTTGACCCTGAGTAGACAGAATAAACCCAAAAGAACTACATGACAAACAAAACAGAGACGAAATGACTAAATTAACCCTGTATAAGTAGAGTTCAACACATAGGCAAGATACACAATAACCTCATCCTTGTGATCAAGTATAATTAAAACCATCAAATACAAGTAGAAACATCCTTGTGGATCATGAGATAAACTGGCAATAGTGCAATGTGCATGACCTGATGTGCCATATTCAGCCATATACTAAGCACCATTCCTTGCAAAACTAACTTTAAGAATTCACAAATCACATGACCCTTAAGAATGTAAAAATTCGACTTAATGAGCACCAAAATAATTGGACTACTGAGACAATAAAAACACATTTAAGGGGAAAACCAAATCAATTAGAATTTGAGAGACCAGCCCCACATATCAAAAGTTTCCTACAATCAAGTTTCTAAGAAACATAACACCAAGAAACTAAGGGCACAAAGGAATATGACAAAATTGGTGATTCATGGTAATACAAAAAACTTAGTATCTTTTTTTTTCACTCTTTTTAATTGAGGAGAGCAATTTTCCAATCTGATTAATCAAGACGGGTAGCAAGAATGACCCACTTGAGAACAGGGGAAATGTGACTAGCAATTGGAAGGATATAACTAGAATTTAGCTCATTTTTAGGACAAAATTAAGATGTTGTTGGGGAACTGTACATGTGTAATTTTGGAGTGATAGGTGGCCGACATGGTCCTGAGGGCATTACTAGTGATTTGATCTCTAGCCAAGCAGCTAGGATCCTACAGAGGACAGATTGGGCCCCCATTGAGGAGAAAACTGTTGGAACTCGGCTGGTGGAGCTTGTCACTCTCTTTAAAGCAGTAGGTATTTCATTTATGGATCATGGTTGAATCAGACGGTATTTCATTTATGGATCATGGTTGGATCAGACAGTGTGTTTCTGGAATTAAATATCTCATACTAATCAGTCAATCAACAAATCGTACATTTTCATAGAACCATTCCATCAAGTTGAGATATATTAATATATATATCTGATATATAATACAAATATACATTAATAAAACATATATAAAATATGTTATATCATATTATATTATTTTATATATAAGATATATTTATATTGTTAATATATAT